TTAGTCGTCTCTTGAGCAGACTATTGATTTTAATTAGTATCACAGGTGTCTTCAATCTCATATTCACTCACTCAGCCTATTTGAATGGAGAAAAGTACTCACTCAGGCTTTTTGTGTCATTGTGTACAGCACAGTAAACATGGACAAGAGAAAGAAAAGCAGAGGGTTCTCTGAGGAGGAAAGGAAGATTATAGACAAGCATAGTAAAGGTAAAGGCTACAAAACCATCTCCAAAGTGTTTCATCTTTCTGTGACCATAGTTGTTAATATTATCAAGAAGCTTAAGGTCTATGGGACCTTAGACAACCTCCCTAGATATAGCCACAGGAGGAAGACTGGCCCCCAGATTGAACAGAAAGATCATTTGAATGTTGGAGAAAGAAGGAAAGAAGGAAGAACATTCCTAACAGATCTTGGCTGACCTCCAAGATCAAGATACAACAATACCAAGTTGCACCCTCTGTCGCTGTCTGACAGAAAGTGGCTTCCATGGTAGACCCAGGAAGACCTCATTTCTGACAGACAGACACGAAAAAGCCAGACTGGAGTTGCTAAAATGCATGTTGACAAGCACAGTCCTTTGGACAGATGAAACAAAATTAGAGCTTTTTGGTAAGTCACAGAAACTATGTTTACAGAAGAAAAAACTATGTTTAGAAGAAAAGAACACCATCTCTACCGTGAAACATGGAAGAGGCTCATAATGTTATGAGGTTGCTTTACTGCCTTCATCACTGGGTGCCTTGAATCTGTGCAGGGCACAATGAAATCAAAAGATTATCAAGGCATTCTGGAGTGAAAGATAATACCCAGTGTTAGAAAGCTCTATCTCAGTCACAAGTCATAGGTCCTCCAGCAGGATATTACCCAAAATATATATCTAAAAGAAGCCAAGAATGGTTGAAAAGCAAACATTGGACTGCTTGAAGTGGCCTGCTATGAGTCCTGATCTGAATCCAATAGAATATTTATGGAAAGAGTTGAAACTCACAATTGGGAGAAGGAACCCATCAAACCTAAGACAACTAGAGTACTTTACTCAAGAAGAATGGGACAAATTGCCAGTTGAGAAGTGTAGAAATCTTATTTGGAGAGGACAATTGATGCCCCTTTCTTCCTTTCTGTTTCCCTCTGTCACTGTTGTCTCTTTCTCTTATGTTGCTTTTATGTTTTCTGTATTGTTCTTTGTTTTTTAAACATTTTAACAATTGTAAACTGTCCAGAGTCGCTGGGAATCAGGTAGCATCTAAATTTATTAGATGTTATTATTATTGTTGGTCGCACAGTCAGCCAGATGTTTAGACTGGATTTGGCATTTTTGTCCAGTTATCAAGTCCTTCCCAAGGGCCTGGGATAGGCAGGTGTTGTGTTTGATGGTGTTAAAGATATCGTTGCAGGATATAAGCTGTTCCAATTAAAGCTGCCTTTTCTAATTGAGGGTGATTTTGTCAATGCTGATGATGTTCAAGTGGTGCTCCAGATGTTTGGGGATTGCACCCAAGGCACCTGTTACTATTGGTACTATCTTTGCTTTCTTTTGCCACAGTTGTTCTATTTCTATTTGCAGGTCTTTGTATTTTGTGATTTTCTCCAGTTCTCTTCTATTCTGCTGTCTTCAGGTATTGAAATGTCCACTATCCGGACCTTTTTGTCTGTCTTATCAACAATTGTTAAGTCTGAGGTATCATCATCATCATCCAGAGCTACAGAAAGTGCTTGATTCCAGTTATTGCCTAAAAAGGTGTCCTACAAAATACTAGGTTAGAATGATGAATGCCATTTACTTGTGTTAGTTTCAACTTATTTCATGGCAAATTGGGATTCTTTGGGAAAAAGTGGAGGTGTAACAATACTTTTGGCTGTTTCTGTATCTGGAAAGCAAAAGTTTTTGTTAAGTTGGCATTTATTTGCAGAATGCCTATTTATTTTGAATGAGTTGAATGAGTCCAGGACCATATAAACTGCATCCTAAAGTATGGGAAGATGAACTTGTTCACATTTAATAAATCCTGGAGAATGGATGAAGTACCAGAGGATGAAGTGTTGATGGAGCAAATGCCCTTATCTTTTAAGGAGGATCCAGAGAACTACATAATAGTCACTCTGACATCTATACCAGGGATGACTGTAGGTCAAATTATAAAAAGATCATTCTATAAGCACCTTGAAAACAATGTGGTAATTGCCAAAAGTCAGCATACATTTCTCAAGGCAAAATCTTGCCAAACTAACTTTACCTCATTTTTTATTAACTTCTATAATAAAATGTGGAAATATTGTAGATTTAATGTATCTTTATCGCAGTAAAATATTTGATAAAGTACTCCATGACATTATGATTATTAAGCTCATTAAGTATGAGCTGGAGGGTATGATAATTAAGTGGCTCAAAAAATTGATCTTAAAAATTCCTCATCAAACTGGCTGAAGTATTGAGTGGGTATCTTAGGGTTGAGTCCTGAGCCTTGTACTCTTCAACATTTTTATTAATGCTTTAAATGAAGAGAAAGAGGGAATGCTTATGATATTTGCAAATGACACACAATTGGATGGGATAAAAAAATTCCTAGAAGACAGAAATAACGTTCAAAAGAATTTTGATCTTGAAGAAATGGATGAAGGAAATTTAATGGAAACCAATGAGAACTTAAAGGAAACTTAATGAAAACTTAACAGAAAGTTATTTTCTTAGGAAACAGAAATCAAATGCATGGGTATAAGATGAGAAAAAATGCTTTGGTAATAGTACTTTGCATAACAGTATCTTAAAGATTTGTCCAGTTCTGGGCATATTTTAAAAAAGATTCAGACAAACTGGAACAGATTCAAAGAAGAGCAGCGAGGATGATCCAGGGATTAGACACTAAGTCCTATGAAGACAGACTGGAAGACTTGGAATGTTTAGCCTCAAGAATCGAAGACTGAAGAGGCAGATCATAACATTCTTCAAATACTTGAAAAGATTCATACCTATAAGAATAATAGGACTTATTTTCCATCACTCTAGAATACAGGATACAGAACAATATATTTACCTTAATGGAAGGCATGTTCCAATTAAATGTTTAAAAATCCTGCATAACAGAGCAGTTTGATGCTGGAACCAATTGCCCAGAAAAATGGTGGGTTTCCTTCACTAGATGTGTTCAAGGAGAAGCAAGGTGGACATCTGAAAGGGATACTTTAACTGAGATTCCTGCATTGAAGAGGTTGGACTGGTCACTTCCAATTCTATGAGTCTGTACACAGGAAGTCAGGAAGACAAGCAGGAAGAATTCAGGTGAGTTATTCAGGATGTTTTAATGTTTTCCTCACTGATGACTAGAGGTTTTTGGCTAGACCTCTGAATTCTTACACAAGATGATCAGTTTATAGTTGCAGGCCCCTACCCCCCAAGAAACCAATTTCCCAATATACAAATGGCAATAACTTTTTGATGAAAAATGTGATGATGCAAGTATTTATGTTAACAGAGTCACCACTATTTGGACCCAAATTCAATTTATATTTCAACTCGAAACAGTTGTACGCCCTTTGGTTTTTGAAGACACTCACCCTTTCACTATTATTAAAATATAAATTATATAAGTATTATTGTATTTGAAAGCCATATCTAGCCAGCTGAAACTACCTGATCTGCTCAAAGCCGAGAACATCTTAAAATTCAGGAAATTTAATTGAAAATGGAATATTCTTCAAATTTAGCAAATTTAGGGGAAAAAATGGAATACTTCGTAAAAACCTCAGTAATTTCTTCATATCTATTAGTAGTTAGTCACTGTTATTTTTACTGTATAAAATCAATCAAAGAATTTTACTTTATCAAATCAATCTGATTTTTAAGGCAAAAAAGATGTTTACTCCCCTACTTCCCACAATTTATGTTTTGAAATTATATGAAATTAGTACATGGAATTAGTTAATATATATTTTAAAAACTGCTACTTTTTCCACAAGGAAAAAATAATAATTCTTTAAATCTGTATTTTAAACTACTGCAAGGCCATTTAGTTGCTAATCCGTTGAGAAAAAATGTTGAGAAATGTTTTACTCATCATTGACGGAATAAACTTACCAAATAACTGTATTTTTTAAAAAAGTTTGTTTCCATAGAATTAGTTGCTCAAAAGACAGACATAAAACTAAAACATAAGAGTCTTTGGGAAGCATATGAATGCATAAAATGATATTCTCTGTTCAACATATTAAGCATTAATTCCCTTGCAAAAAGAACTTGACAAAGTTAATCTAGTTTAAGGCTCTTTTGATAGTGAATGACACAAAAGATTATTTGATGAATGTTTGTGAACAACAGGATTTGTAAGTATACCATTCAGGCTTAAATGGTTGTTAGTTTAGATATATTCAGATTTGATTTAATTTTTAATATGTAGATTAATCTAGGAAGCTTTAATTAATTTTTATGCATCATTGGGGTCCTCACCTTACACAATCCTGATCACAATGTTGGAAGAAAAAACTCAACTGTTGAAATATTGAGTAATTTTTGTCGCATTCACAAATATGAAACAACACAAACACACACACACACAAACATACATAAACTACAAATACTTATATAAGTATTTTGAAACAGAAATGCTCATTATCCTGCCAGTCAAGATTACACAAAGAGTGATGAGAACAAACCAGTTTGGCTTAACTTGTTCCTAATGAGGATTTTTGCAGCATGATGCCAGGCAAAAATGGTTTAACTGCTTATTAAAGTCTTTGTGCTTCATAGTTAGACTTGCAGCTAGTCAGTGAGGCATAGTTAGTTTGCACGACATAATTAAATAATAAAAGGGAAAAGAATTGGGTCTAAAATACACAGCCGGTATAAAAACCATTAATCATAAGAACATTCATTTGAGGGCAGCACATTAAATTTGTGTGTGCTATAAATTCTTGATTTCTTTCAAATGTTAAATGTGGGAAAGTTTTACAAAATCTTTTTATATATATATAAATTTAGTAGAAAGTCTTTTATAAATATTCTTACCATGCTTCAGATGTAGGCAGCTGTCATTCGTGGGGCTGTACCTGTAGAAGATTGTTGTTCTTTTAACAAATTTCCACTGAATCATTTTTGCACACCCCAAATAAAAGGTCTTATGCTAGAATATGCATTGCTGATTGATTTCCTCTGCTTTTTATGGTTCTTATACCAGCCATTTTATTTTATTTTTTTAAAAAAGAGAGGACCTCACTGATGCTTTCAGCAGGAAGTTTTTTAAACCACTTCTATTGTTTTATGTATGTTAAGATAAAAGTTTCCGTTGAATTGTGCTTGATTCTGTAGTTTTCCTGGCAACAGTATGGAAGTGGTTTGCCATGGCTTCTTCTTGGAAGTTTTTTTTTTTTTTTACTTCCCAATCTAGCTTACATCCCCAGGATTTCCTGGTGTACTTTGACCCAAACACTTAACAGGTCTGACTTTGTTTAGCTTTATGAATTTACTAAGGTTGCCATTCACAATTTATCCATTGAGATTTACTGATTTATTTACAAGGCTTATAAACTGTTCCAACTGAAGCTGACTCTTCTCCAATGAAGAAATAAGTTGATCCAAAATCTCTGCTGTTGCCTTAACAGCAGCCACAAAAGAGAATATTCTTCATACTTCTGGAAGTCAGTAGTGGATTGAAGGAGCTTAAGATGCAATTCATGGCATGTGCAAGTAATACAATTTCTCAAGTACTGTTTCCGGAAGCTAAGCAATGGTACAGAAGAATAAAAGGCAGCTGACTTTTTGTCACTGCTACTTAATTCTTTTTGAACTGGTACTGCCTCTTTAAGTTGATGAAATAGTGTTACTTTTCCAATTTTCAGTAATAACTTTCAGTTTCTGGTACCAGTAATCTACAATTACTGGTGATATTACTGTTCTCCAATCTTTGAGCCTCTACTGACATCCAAAAGAATGGAGATTAATTTCTTCTCTCAGTTGTTGAAACAAACCACAGAGCTTCATTCCAAGCATCTCTTCATAATGAAAGTAAAACTCTCTGTTTGCCATAATTCTGGGTGCACAAGGGCAAGACAATGAAGGTGACGTTAAAAAGAATCATTAGAATATGTATCGTCCATTATGGAAAGAAATTTACATCTTGAAGCAAAGTGCTGAATCTTTAAAACACAGCAAATATTTAACATGAATATCTACCCATAAAATATACCTGATGTTGACTCCTGTAGCTTCTCTCTCTTCCTCTTTTTCTTCTTTCCCTTTGGAAAGTAGGAAAAAGGCCTTTATTTATGAGTAATAAAGAAATAAATAACTCAAGAAAAGCCTTTTGAGATTATCCCTATAAGTAATCCTAAAAAATACTGTCTATATTTCTATAATCCTCAAGGATGAATGTTGAACTTTGCCTATATTTTATTATAGACAGCCATTTTTGCTTATATTAACCCCTGCCATTCTACCCTTATCAGGCTGGCAAGATGTAGGCAATAAGAGGGTCCACATCAATCTCACCGAAAGTTCCTGCAAACCCCTTTCCAGATGCAGCAGTCATCATTTTCAATGGACGGCAACCCATGGCAGAAATTCTAGAAAGAACTTTTTTTCTGAACCAGAAATATGAGAGAGGAGAACTTGCTTGCCAGGAATTGCAGAACAGCCGTACTATTTATCCCTGTGCAACAAGGGGTGCTGGATTGCAAACGTCTGTATCAACCTCCAGGAGCAAGTACGGGCTTTTCCTCATATATGGCAATCTCAGTAAATATCACCATAACCTCATCATAACCTCAACTAAGCTTTGCACAGTAGATCAGGTTTTATTCCTCATTCATAACCAGTAGTTAAATTGTGGGGGGGGGAAATCCATTAAAAATTACAATATACTGAAGAAAGCATCCTGCAAATGCTACTTGTGCTAATCGTGAACATTTAAGAAAAAAGTAATCAAACTGAATATATAGTTATCGTTATCAGTAACAGTGAGCCACAATTCTAGTTGTAGATGCACATCTGTAAACTGAGAGCCATACTCAGCTGCAGTCCAGAGAGTGGTAATTTGAGAATCTGCTGAAAGTATTGCTCTGAGTTTACAATCCCAATGCTAACAATCAAAATATCTACTAATGCTCTTAATTTCCAATAGCTGGATAGGGTGTTATCCTTTTTCCTTTCCATTTTAGCATAATTCATTAAAACTGAATAAGATTTTCAAAATGGACTGATGCATAAACTGCTTTGTTAAATGAATGTAGGTACTAGGCAAAGATGATTCACTGTGCTCTGAAGCTCATTGGCTCTTTTATGGAATTTGACTTAGGCAGTAAGTCTATTTATCTGGCATTTAACTAGGCACATGAGATTAAGGATATATCCCACTATCGATTGAAATCTTAATGAATGTGTGAGAGACTATATTTTCAAAGTCAGAACTATGCCTGGGATTAGACTGTTCTTTGAATTGTTTATTTAAGAGTCATCAAGGCCCTGTCTTAACTAACTCTCAGATAAATAAGTCTCTGGGTATCATGAGTATGGATTTTTTTTTTAAAGAACTATTTACAAGGTAAATAGAAGATATACTGTTCAATTGTAATAAATATTTTTATAGTTTGCTGTGTGAAAAGCTTAATATTAAAAAAAAAAAAACAATTTGAAGAAGTGCTGCTAACTGAAGCTTTTCTTCTTAAAAGTAAAAGATAACCTGCAGGCAAAAGAATGGCCGCTCAGCTCAATCCACTCTACATTCTGTTTGCTTTAGGACAAATATACACACACAAATTTCACATTGCCAAGATAAATTCCAAGATAATTCCAGTAGGGCATCATTCAGAAGAGATTCATTGCCATGTGTATTTATTAACCATATGATAAGCCGATGTCAAAACAGTGATCAGTTTTAGGACATAAATCCCTGATACAGATGTCTGCAAAACAATTCTCTAACATTGAATGACCACTTCGATGTATTTTTCAGATAGGCATAAAGCTGGACCAGGAAAACAACCAAGAAAATTTTGGAATCCATTCATGCATGTAAAAATTGTCTAAAAAAGAGAGAAGAGAAAAATACAGAGACCTCAAAGTGAACGGAATGCCAATACTAGGAGCTTTTGCTCCCTTTAAACATTCAGATCCCTGTGTCTTAACTGCAGCAAGATCAAACTGAAGAAAATATAAATAAGAAGCTTACATAATTGTCTCTTGCAGACCAGCCAGGATACAGCTGCATGTGTAGCTGCCTTTCTTTCCGAGCTAGTTCGTAATATTTTGCTTGTTCTTCACGCGACAAGGCATGCCACTGCAAGTGAAGTGGAAAAAGAATGAGCTTCGTGTGCAGACATCTAAGGAAATGAATTCCGATTTATTCTGACGCACAGAAAAGTACAACCACCATCCAGAGTGCTCACATGTTACCAATGGTAATATAAGAAACTTGCACAATATACACAACTGATGTCAGGCAGAGGAGATCTGAGTTTTTAAATACATAACTTTGAAATCTGATGTGGAAGGCCTTTGAGAAAACACGGGGATAGGCATGCAGCTTCCTGATCCTCTTGCCTTTTCTACAATCTGATGACTTTTGACTGCGCGGCCAAAATTTTGCAGCACTATTTGCCAGTAATCAGCGGTGCAGTTTTTTATCATTTTGAGACAGGAAGTATATAGAGACCACAGTAGATATAATGCCATTTTTAAAAAGACAAGACGACAGTCCTCTTTCTTCTTTTACACCACCGCCTTGAGGTATAGTTCTCAGCTCCTCAGTGGAACATTAAATTCTGCCCCGTTCCAAGAGAACTATGATCAGCAGAAAAACTGATAGTAAAAAGAAAGAAAAAAGAGGACAGCCCCTTTGTAAAAATATTTCTGAATTCTTGTTTATCCAAAGCCAGCATGGAATTCTTACATGCTATTCCAGGAAACACCGCTTTTAAACAAGATAGGTTCCATATTGCTTGAATAAGAAGCCTCCCATGTAGATGAAGACCATGATAATGAAGAATGGTACTGATGAAATTCATTAATTAATTATATTAAAATAATCCCAATTACGTTTATATTTTGCCTTTTAAACAATAAGATGTACTAAGAATTCATTACAAGTATAGGCTACCAAAATCCATCGGAGAAGCATAAAAAACATAAAAGGTTTGTCAGCTTGTGTTGTTAATTTTTACTAAACAGTCTACGATGCTTACTTTAAGTAAATGCTATTTTATGCTGAAATTCTTTTCTCTTCTTTTCTTTTTTGATGGGGACTCCCGGTGAACTCCAAAAGTTGATACAAAATTCTAATTTTTAATATGACAGAAGGGGAAATTATTAACTGCATGCTTGGAGATTACTAATTTCAACCATATAAAATTTTTATATGTAAAAATGTAAGATAAAGTAAATTAATTTGGGCCCTAGCTGCACCCACTACTTTTAGGAGTGTAGCCCTTTTCTTGCCCCTTCAGGATGGATCTCAGCCTCCCTGAAAAAAGTCGGCTATTCCAATTTCTATTTTACATACCCACATTACACTCACATATATTGCACACCCAAAGAGAGAATTTGCTGTTTTCACAACAGTTTACAGCATAGCAGATTCTGAATTCTGTATGTGATGCAAGCAATATCCTGGCAAATTACAAGATAATACTTAGAAATTGTTTACGGATAATATGATAATCAATTGCATGAGTCTGTATTTCTTGACCTGAGAGTCTGAATGTCCAGTACAACAGGGACAGCTGGAATGCATGGAGTTAAATATTGAAACATATCCTACTACATTCGGGATGGGGTGGGGGGCAGCATATGGCCTTGCAACAAAAGGACAGCTAAGGCATGATAGGCTGATGCCACAGAAACAAATGCAAAACAAAACTACAAAGCACAGAAGGGAAAGGCTAGGCAGTGTGTCTGCTGTTAGGGCAAAAACACAGACTGAAACTTTGAATAAATAGGGCTTTGACATGACAGTGAGTGAAAAGCAATTGCAATGTCTAGAATCATGGAGATGGTGCAATATGAACTGACTGAATGGAAGAGAAGACCTTTTGCTAACTGCATTTCACAGATTAATTACTGGTAGCAATGCAATCTTGAAGAAAGAGACTTGAAGTAAGAATCAATAATAGTAATTAAAAATTAAAATGTTTAAGTCAACTATTCTCATGTACTAGTATGCTTTCTTAATCATGCAACCATGGAGCACTCACCTGATGATTTCTGAGCAACAGTATGGAAACGATAGAATGTACTTTAGAAGGCTAATCAAAATCTTTCACCTTGGGGTGTTTTGGTCACTTTTCCAGTCATGTGGGATTTAAGCTACAGTCTGTTCTCTTCCCAGCTCCCAATGCATACCCTTTAAAGCACCACTTTTTACTGAATTTACTACATTGTTTAGAAACCAAACCCTGCAGTTTAACATTCCAAAAATGCTGAACATGAGGCAGTTCTTAGAACGAGTGAGCTGCTCTTCTCTGTGCACACACACCACCTTCTCTGAACCACCGAAGAGCCTTCGCCCTTCAAGCGGCAGCCTGATCCAATCTCCGCAGCTGCCCATCAGCTGTTTCACAGCAGGAAATTAGGGTGGAAGCTTGCAGCTTCCAAGAGCCAGACAGCAGGAAACATGGGAGGGAGCCAAGAAGAGCGATGAAGTGCCAAAGACACACCACATTACCAAGGAAGCAGAGCTGTCTAAAAATATTAGTAATGGAAGTTTGGGGTTTTTTGGAGAAATCTTATCTTTTAGACACATAACCAAGTCATAATATTATGAATTGTCTGCCATTCAGTCACATTTTTTGCAACATCAGACTTGCGTGTTGTAACCCAACATTTTGATTTTATTGATTTTACCGTCACTTTTTGTATTTTGCATTTGTTTTATTGTGGTAAGCCAGTTTGAATGCTTACAAAGCAGAAAGGAATATATGCAATATTATAACATTAAATGTAAAAAATTAACATCACCTAGGGTTTTTTGCATCAGTTTTTTACTGTTCTCCTCTAATGGGCAGTACTAAACATGCATATAACTGAATTCACAGTAATTGATTAGTTTGAAATATATATTCAGAGACAGAATAGGCTTTTAAGACAGCAGAATTTCAATCCTTTAAAACAAAACACCCTGTCAAATTCTGTTCTGAAATAACACTAGAGAGAGGCTTCACCAAAGCTTTGGACAGATTCCCACAATGCTATTTCTCCTTTTGCTACCATGCAATTTCAGTTGTTTGCCATCTGCTGCTATGTCCAAGCTTTGCTTTTAACAGACCAGTGCAAATACTAGAAAAATGATATTTGCACTAGCATGCCAACAGCCAAATCCTCCATGAATTAGCAGATGCACGTAGCCAAGTGACCCCAGATAGAAGCAACTGTACAGACAAGACTTTTCCTGCAATTGCCAGGTACACAGAAGTTAGGGTCAGTACACATGCCATTTATAAGGCCATAATTTATGTAGAAGTACCCTGAGTGAGAACTCTTTAATATGCTTTGTTGAAGTGTATGTTTGACATGTTTCACCTTTGATGCTTGCTAAAATGGCAATGGTTCAAAAAAACAACAACATGGAAGGGATAAAATGGGGACAATGTGTAAAAATAACTTTAATCATCCAAAGAAATCTGAAATCACTGTTCTCTAGTCATTTTGTGAAATGTTTATTGATAACTCTTCCAAAAAGAGATACAG